GGGAAAGAAAGAGAGATATAGAGAGAGGGAGGGGGCAGGCTACCAAAGAGAGAGAGAGAGAGAGAGAGAGAGAGGCCGAATGGCAAAATGGCATATGGGTTGAATTGCGGCGATCTCTTTCACGGATGAAATAATTTTGTTTTATTTATTTAATATTTTTCCTGGAAAAATCACCACAAGCACTCTAATTTTCCGGTTTTTTCACGCATTCTTCTGAGCGGAAAAAATCACTAAGTTGAAGTACTTTTTATGTTGGCCCGCACATGGCTGAGTGGCAAAAATGGAAAATGTGATGAATCGACGCAGCAATTATTTCGTGGTCTTCATAAATTTTTTAATATTTTCTGATTTTTTTCTGGGGAAAAAATGACCTAATCTACGGATTCACAAATTTTCAGATTTTTCTATGACTTCCTCTTAGCACAAAAAATCGCCAAAGTTGGTGCACCCGATGCCCGTTCCGTTGCGCCTTCCCGCGTCCTCCCAATGTCGACCTCCATGTTTTGAGAAGAAGGGTCTCAACGTCCGGGCCTGAGGGCCCTTTTGCAGGTCACATGCAAGGGAGGACCTGTCCTCCAATTTTGCTACCACGTCGATTCCACGGGCGATAGTTGTAGGTAGTCCGTAAGAACACGATGGACCGGTCCCCCAACAACTTTTACCCCGTTAGAACTCACTCGTGCGCCGGTTCCCCGCCGCTGAAAATGTGTCACCGTGACAGAGACGTCGAATATGGTAGTAGAGTCACCGCTAGAATACGCGCTGAAAATGTGTCACCGTAGGCACGCCGCTGAAAATGTGTCCCCCAACAATTAATATATTCACAACCCTAAGACTGCAGTATAGTTGTTGGGCGGAGAAGAAGTATACTGCACTCTTAGGGTTGTGAATATATTATTTTTTATGGTAGTAGAGTGCCCCAAATCTGCCCTGTCGGGCTTCATTCTTCCAATTGATAATGGAAATCCCTCTCTTCCCCGCCCCCCCCAAAAAAAAGAAAAAAAGCAGTCATGTAATGACTTGTCATCTCATGGTCAGTGCTTCAACACGTATTACCTGAAAAAGAATGAGACAATAGTAGTTCTCCTCCTCTCCTTCACAATGGGCGTGTCGTTCCGAAAAGAGTTTCCTGCATAAGACTGCAGTATACTTCTTCTCCGCCCAACAACTATACCGCAGTCTTAGGGTTGTGAATATATTAATTTTTATGGTAGTAGAGTGCCCCAAATCTGCCTTGTCGGGCTTCATTCTTCCAATTGATAATGAAAATCCCTCTATTCCCCGCCCCCCCCAAAAAAAAGAAAAAAAACAGTCATGTAATGACTTGTGATCTCATGGTCAGTGCTTCAACACGTATTACCTGAAAAAGAATGAGACAATAGAAGTTTTCCTCCTCTCCTTCACACTGGGCGTGTCGGTCCGAAAAGAGTTTTCTGCATAAATTTGCTCTATCCCATGTGGTTGTGCCCAACCCCAGTACCCTGTGGGGTATAAGATTTTTTGTAATTTTCTTCCTTTCATTAATTTTTTAAAAAAAAATTCCTACTTTTATGCAATTATTTCATTGGTTGAATCACTCTTTGAATCACAAGTGTATGGAGGGTGTCATGACTACTACACACTACCTTATTTTTTCTCATTAAAAAAAATAGGAATTATTTTTTTCACACCACAACATCTTTCATACAATCATTTGTGATTTGATGGTTGAAAAGCACTGCTCCGTGATTTTTGCATTTTAGGTTTTTATTTCTATATATACAGGGTTGCCGGCGTTCGGGAGGGGCCGAACGCCCGAACATACGGGACCCCTTGGAAGGCGTTCGGCCGTTCGGGCCGAACGCGGACCAAAAAAAAAATAAAAAATCAAACAATTCCGAAGAAAAAAATATGTTATGGAGAAGCATAAACTAAACAACATTTGCCTGGGCACTACATCCAAATTCTTTACCAAATTTGAATTAAAAATCAAATACAAAAAATAAACACTATGATAAAAATAAAAAAAAATGAAAAAAGAATTAAAATAAGTGAGTGTGCCAGCACCTTTTCGACACCGCCATCTTTGCGAATTTTTAATTTTTTCTGGCATTGACAAATGCCTTGAAAGTTTACAGATATGTAGTTTACATAATCAACAACTCATTTAAAAGTTTTCAAAAAATAATAAAATTTTTTAGGCCCCGAAATAAAGTGAAAACAAAAAGTTAAAAGTGAAATAAAAACAAAATAGTGAGTGGGCGAGCACGTTTTGACACCCCCATCTTTGACGATTTTTAATGTTTTTTCTGGCTCAGCAGAATAGCTTCAAAATTTATAGGCGTGTAGGTTACATCATAGAGAACTCACAAAAAACAATTCAGAAAAAAAAAACGTAATTTTAGGCCCTGAAATATTTTTTGGCGGGGGCCGAACCTGGAGGTGTTTGGCCCCCAAACGGGACCCCGAACGCCCGAACGTTCGAGGGCCAGCCCGGGGGCCCCCGAACGTTCGGTGAGGTAACCCTGTATATATATATATATATTTTTTTTTTATTTTACTCTTTTTTTCTCTGCCCCCTAATAAACAAATGGTGTCACTGCTACATAGTGCCACACTAGTTAGATCGTACCCTCTATCCAGTGTTAGTAGAACCATACTTTTGTTCAGGAAAAAAAAACATGTTTGCTTTCTACATAATTGCGATTTTCGACGTAGTCAATAGTGAGTTCGAAATGGGCCTATGTATGATTACATGACTGGTCATTTTGTTGTCCCTTCATCTTTCAAAATTATTTTCGTAATTTGCATGTTCGCATAAGTTGTGGTGTAGGAAGAACATTTTAGCAACTTGTGGCAATTTTTTTTTTGTTTCGGCGGCACCTTCGCGAGCGCGAATAAAAATGATAATGTGTCTTTCTTTTTTTTGCTCCGAATTTTGTATGACTTCTGCAAACTTTTGGCGCAATGATCGCGTTGTTATATGTCTTTTTTTTTTTTTTTTGCCCCCTAATGAAGAAATGGTGCCACTTCTACACAGTGTTACACTGCTTAGACCGTACCCTTCGTCCAATGCTAGTAGGACCATGCTCCAATTTGGGGAAAAGAGGCATGAAACTATGATTTTGTTGTGATGATCTACTTTCTGTATAGTTGCAATTTTTGACGCAGTTA